AAAAAAAAAAAAAAATTATCACATTATCTTATTCACATATGGAAGCCAATACAGTGTATCTCATGGAAGCAGGAAGTAAACAGGATCACTAGAGGGCAAGGTCAGCAGGCAGGGCACACAGGAGGTTGGAAAATGGTTATCAAAATACATTTAGCTAACAGCAATAAGGCCTTGTGCTCCACTGCATAGTAGGGTGACTGACTAGAGTTCAGAGCAGTTTAGTTATACATTTCATCTGGGGTTTGAAATATAAAAAAAGGGATACATCTTAAAGGAGACAGAATCATTACTGGACCTGATTTGATCATTATACATTATTTGCTTGTATAAGTCATTATATCATACTGTATAAATGTGCAATTACTTTGTGTCTACTAAGAAAGTCAATTATGTTCAACAAAGGGAGCAACAACTGAGTGTGTAAAGAGCAGTGTGTAGGTAAAAATGGCCACGTGAGTGACTGAAGAAATCTGGCCACTACAGAGCAAAGGACAGCGGTGCAAGCAGAGGACAGGACAGCCCCAGGCAGGTGAGCACGGTCACCACGTCAGATGCTGACAGGACTGACCTAGCAGAGAAACGAACGAGAGAGGACAAATGACTCCGTCCTAAGTCTATCACGGGAGACAAGGCTGTCAGCACTCGAGATGCACACAGTTCTTCCCACTAAGACAGGAGGCCACCCTGGACCTCAGGAGAAATCTCCTCTAAAAGGATTAATGGAAATTTAACCATTCCAAGGCATGGGGCAAAGCACAGCTGACTGGAAATATAATTTAAGCACAGCCTCCTAGTCTTGTTGAACTACCGTAAATATTATAAACCACGTAGCGTCCACTCAGGAGGAACGCCTTTAAATCGCCTACCCCGCAAGTGTCAGACACTGGAGCTCCGCGGCAACTCTCACGGGGTGACTTGTTGGGATCAAGTGCTTCAGCGCAATCTTCTCTTCATGTCCTACCTGCAGCTGGGCCGTGGCCAAGTAGACAGAGCTGAAGGTGCCTGTGAAGCAATTGGGTAGACTTCTCATATCAGGCTTTAAAAAGGTTATGGTAAACAATGCTATAAGATTAATAAATATCTTAATGGAATAATACATTAAGTTATGACTGTTTGTTTTATCCTAAATATTTATTACTTTCATTCTTTTCAAGGGGGAGAAAATCTGTTACCATAGTTACCAACATTATCATGGTTTCAACAGTTTAACAACAGTAAAATACACTCTTAAATTACCTTCTCCGATTTTGTCCTTAATTTTGAACACACTGACAAGCTGTGGTACAGCTTCACAAAGCTTCTCAATATCTTTTTTAATGCCTATGAAGGAAGGAAAAATTTACAGTTAGAATCTGTAACGACAGGTAGTTAAGGTTTTTGTTGTTGTTCATGTTGGTTTTGGACAGGGTCGTTGCCCCTCCCCACCTCCCTGAGACAGAGTTTCTCTGTGTAGCCCTGGCTGTCCTAGGACTTGCTCTGTAGACCAGGCTGGCCTGGAACTTACAGAGTGTTGGGATTAAAGGCATGCGCCACCACCGCCACAAGGGTTGTGATTCTCCCACCTCTGCCTCTCAAGTACTATTACAGGAATTTGCCATCACTGCCCAGCTTATAATTTCTCAGGTTCAACAATAAATCAATGAAATACATTTTAAACCAAGCAATTAACCACAAAATGATAAACGTTAAAACCCCACAGAGTTGCTAAAAAGTTGCAAGTTGCAAAACGGTAACTAGCAGGAAAAATAAAAAGATAGCCCCAAAATTAAACACGGCAAATTTCTACTGTATTGGAGCTACACACTAAGAGATATACTGCTAGTACATATTTGGCCTTTAAGATGAAAATGCTAAGTTCAAAGCAAAAAAAGACCTAAAGCGGGGCAAGGTGGTACATGCAGTAGTCCCAACTGCTCAGGACACTAGGGCAGGAAGACGACTTGAGCTCCAGGAGCTTAAGGCCAGCAAGGGAAGGGAACAGTGGAAAAAAGTAAAAAAAAAAAATCTATAAGGGGGGTATGCTAGTACATGCTGGTACTTCCAGCACCGAGGACATGGAAGCAAGAGGATTAGGAGTTCAAGGCCAGCCTCAAATATATAGTGAATTTGAGGCCAGACTGTCTCAAAACAAACAAAATATAAAATGAAAAAAACTGAACACGCAATGTATGCCGTGATCACTAAAAGGCACAGTAAGGGCACAATGCAATCGTCTTGAAAACCACTTCCTCCATCAGACACAAAATCTTACAGGCAGGAAAGTGTTATACAGGGAATGACCAGTCTATCCTTAGGAAGACAGTCTTCTAAGGTTCTCTAGTTTGTGGGGGGGAAACTCTTTAATGTGTTCCCAAAGTTAATAGCATCCTCTATTTTTGACTCCAGAAAAACTGCTAATTTTAACTAGATACAAAAGTATACATAGCTAAAATAAGTGGAAGCAGTAATGTAAAATCTAATAAACTACTGATACGAAAAAGAACCACCTAAGAATCTTCAGACTCTAGTGCAGAACCGAAGCCAAGCGCGAGCCAGTGTCGGTAATTATTCACACTCAAAGCTGAAGGCACTTTCAAAGTGCTTTCACATGCATTACTTTCTCAGATGGTTTTTCCTCTCTGCAGCGGTGTGGCCAGAACTCAGGGCTCACACTAGGCAAGCGCTACCCATCCTGTAGCTCCTGGTTTCTGACACAGTCTTACTATGTAGCTCAGGCTGGTTTCAAGCTTGCAATCCTCCTCCTACTTCTTCCAGAATGTTGAGACTCCAGGCACATGCCACTGCCTGGCCCTCAAATCTTCATAACAGCACTATGATGTTGGCACAGTAAGAATGAATATCTTGCCAGGCATAGCACTTGGGAGGCATCTCCATGAATTTGAGGGCAGCCTGGTCTATATCGCAAGTTTGAGGCAGATAGCTCGAGTGTACAGAGTGAAACCCTGTCTAAAATCAGATATAGGTATCTAGTCAGAGAAGTTACATCATTTGCTCAGCATCAGAGAGGTACCACTGATGCCTACAGACACTCACTCATAATTACTACCTTTTAAAACGTTCTGCAACAAGTACACGTTTAAAATGAACACACTGGTGCAGCTGGGCTTCCCCGGGGTTTTAGTCTAGTAGAAGAGACAGACATTCTTACTCTCTCTCTTTTTTTTTTTTTTTTTTTTTTTTTTTCTGAGACAGGGTTTCTTTGTATAGCTCTGGCTGTCCTGGAACTCACTCTGTAGACCAGGATGACCTTGAACTCACAGAAATCCACCTGCCTCTGTCTCTTGACTGCTGGGATCAGAGGCGTGTGCCACCACCGCCCAGCCTAGATGGGCTGTGTTCTAATGTAGAAAAATGAAAGAGAACATTTGCTGAAGAAGGAGCTGTGTATGCAGAGACACTGAAAAAGGAATGAATGACTGGGGTGAGAAAAGTTAATGAAACACAATGAAACCCAAAAGGGCAAAGAGGAGAATAAGTGAATGCTATACAAAGTTTAAAGTAGAAAAATGACAAGCAGAAGACAGATTTGAAGGGGACCATCAAGAGTCAGAGGTGACAGAGTCCGAGGAGAGCCAGCACAGTGTTCTCTCTGCCACAACCACCCACTTAAAGCACAATTTACTCAAGCGGCCCTCACCGTGGTGAGATGGAGATTCCACACGATTTCAATACAGGAGGCAACGTAACACAACACTGGAGGTGGGAACCGAAGTCAGAAACATGGACCCACTGTATACCACCCTGAGATGTCTGTCTTGAGCAGAGTTCATCTCTATGAATCTAAGTTTCTATCTACAGGTATGCATATCACTATTGTTATTATTGTAGTGTGGAGATTAAACCTTGTGCATACTAGTAAAGTGCTCTACCACTGAGCTACATCGCTCCATAGCTTTTTTCTTTTTAATTAAGAGATTTTCAATTCATTTTACGATAGCTGTTGTTTTATCATCTACAGAAGAAAAGAAAAGTTGGGATAAAAAGGTTTTAATAGTATCCATATCATTTGGGCATTTAGAAGATTAAAATAAATGTGCATACACACTTTACACAAAGCTTGTCACACAGTAAATGCTAAATGTATGACTATAATAATCCTTACTATTCTAACTATAGTAGTTACATTGGAGGGGCACTTGAGACAGGGTCTATGCAGTCCCGGCTGTCCTAGAGTTTGCTATGTAGACCAGGCTGGCCTCAAACTCAGAGATCCTCCTGCCTCTGCATCCCCAGTGCATGGAAGGCTGTGCCACCACTGCCGGCAATAGTTGGGCTTGAGAACGTTGACTTACGCTTTAATCACTGACTTACCTGACATCCAGAAAAGTGCCTGCATATAACAGATACTAAGTATCCATCACTTGGGAATCTCTTCGATCTCACCGTGGAGTAATAGCATAGGAGTCTGTCATGTTCATTTTGGGACTTTTATATACTGACTTAATTTCCTATACTTAGGGGATCATATAATTTCATACAAGCTGGAAATCTTTGAAGAATAAAAAGAGAACTGTATAATGTTAAGTATCTAAGAAATTTTCAAAATATATACTAAGCAAAACAGAACAGAGGAGTTGGGCGTGTTGCTCAGAGGTGGGTACCTGCCTAACAACACAAAACTCTGAATCTTATTCCTAACACCGAGGGGGAAACAAAATTAGAAATATGTTGATTATGATCCCAACTTAATTTTAATATATGTATCCTAGGCCCAGGAAGATAGCTCAGTTGGTAAATGCTTGCCTTGAAAAGTATGAGGACCTGAGTCTGATCCCAAAACCCAAGTCAAAAAGCCAGACATGGTGGCCCACACTTTTAATCCCAGGGCTGGAACAGTGGAGAAAAGCGGATCTCTGGGGAACACCTGCAAGCCAGCTTAGCCAAACTGGTGATCTTCAGGCCAAAGAGACCCTGTCTTAAAACAGAAAGGTTGGCAGTACTTGAGGAACGATGTACAAGGCTATCCTCTGTGTGTTCTATCTACACGCACACATAACTAAAGGACTAAATACTGGAAATATTTTACTTAGGCTTTCTTATTTTCCTAAATTTTCTTCAATAAGCATGAAAAATTTGTTGTATTAAAAAAATTCAACAATACTGGGTGGCAGTGGCACACGCCTTTAATCCCAGCACTCGGGAGACAGAGCCAGGTGGATCTCTGTGAGTTCGAGGCCAGCCTGGGCTACAGAGCGAGATCCAGGACAGGCACCAAAACCACAGGGAAAAACCTTGTCTTGAGAAAAAAAAAAATTCAACAATACTACTAAACAAAGGGCTTTGCTATTCATCTGCTATACTAGGCATTTATTTGATATCATTTAATACTAACAAACCCCTACTGTGGGCTGGATCCTCTTTGGTTCTACATATGCAAAGGTAGACAAAAAGTCCCAAAGACCCCCACCAAAAAAACTGAAACTTCAATAAGGAGTTAAGGTAATGCATGCACATAACTGCTTCATGATCTATCTCATCTGACTTATGGTAGGCCTGGACCTCATCAGTACTAGACTTTCCTAAAGTGGTATTTCTGACATGGCTTTCGCTTTTATTACGAGTCACAGTAAAGAACTCATGGATAAATTTCAGCATGTTTTATAAGTTACCATGGGCACTATTTGTGATGGCCTAAGTTGGGTTACATGACAGCTACAAAACTTTTGAAACCAGAAATAAAAATCACCCCACTAATTTATCCCATTTTCAAGATATCAGAAAAGGAGCATTCCTCTGAAAATAATTCTAGAACCAGATCAGATTCATGTGTTCACACACTCCATTCAATGAACAATGTGAATGAGAGGCCAAAAATACAGAATGCTAAGTGATACAAGAATATGACTATGCTATTGCATATGTATGTATATGTATTTATTAATTTTAAAAAAAAGCCAGAAGCCGGGCGGTGGTGGTGCACGCCTTTAATCCCAGTACTCGGGAGGCAGAGGCAGGCAGATCTCTGAGTTCGAGGTCAGCCTGGTCTACAGAGTGAGATTCAGGACAGGCACCAAAACTACACAGAGAAACCCTGTCTCGAAACCCCCCACCCCCAAAGCCAGACTGAAAAACAAGTTGTTTTAAAAAATAAATAAAGGACAGGGGAAACCAGGCAACGGTAGTATTTTAAGATCAATCTAAAGCATATAAAATGGACTGGAAATCTAAGAGGAACGGAAGCAGACAGTTTAGGTTAAGGAAGTTAATGGTACTTCAACAAGGAAGGGAAGAGGAGCCTCAAGCTTTTAAGTCTGACAGTTAACAGTGGTGTTCATCACCATGAAGAGGGACACTGAGAGGTACTCATTGTGACAATAAATAACAGTTTAGTTTTAGTCAAGAAATTATAAATATAAACCGGGTGCTGGGGGCACACACCTTTAATCCCAGCACTCAGGAGGCAGAGGCAGGCAGATCTCTGTGAGTTCGATGCCAGCCTGGGATACAGAGTGAGTTCCAGGAAAGGATCCAAAGCTATGCAGAGAAACCTTGTCTCAAAAAAAGGAACCAAAAATATGTGACATTATGCTTTTTAAGTGACATTAAAGCTTTTGGGAGTATACAAACTGTAGAGGAAAAAGTAGTAGGATAACTGTATCTAGGATAAACATTAGAATGAAATAGTTGTTTTCGCTGTATCTAGGGTAAACATCAGCATGAACACTTGTTTTCTTTAAGTACTTAGACCTTAAAGAAATCATTGCAGGAAACGGTGATTGTTTTCTGTTATCTCTAGAGTGTTTTTCTGAAGGAGCTTTGTAGTCTTTGCATGGCTCTGGCCATAGTCAATAAATACGGCTCTTTGGGGTTCAGTTCACAGAAGCTGTTCCTCCCTGCTGCAACAGAGTCTGAAGTTAATCTGGAGTCTCTTTTCCTTTGATCGTCCCACAAAATACAGAACCCCGGACAACAATAAAGTGCATACCATAAATTAAAAGTCAAAACTAGTATCTTCTTGGACAAGCCTAAATTTTCTTAGGACAAAGAAGATGGCTAGATTTTAGGAAAGAACGCAGTCAACTGGGACTCTTCTGCTTAAAAACACGTATGTTAAATGAACACTGACACAGGGCACCGTGCACAATTGTATGAAGACACACATTGTTTCTGGAGGTGGGGCTGAGACAGGGTCTCCAGTAGCCCGGGCTGGGCTTGAACTCCTGATCCTCCTGCCTCCACCGCCACCTGAGTTTATGGATGTGTACCACCGTGCCCAGCTGAAGGGGCACGTTTTAGTTCCTAAGACCCCGTATTTTCAGTCATCATCTTGAATCGTGAGAAGTGGTGTTATATCACCGCTACAAACCATTCCGTTCTGTGAATTCTGTTTCTGAATACTTAAAATTCCTTCCCTGTCAGTTTCTAAAACCAACACAACCTGTTTCCTAGAAAGCCACTAACATTTGGACCTAACCAAGTTCATCTAAAAGGACAAAGTTGGATTCCAATCCTCTCTCTCTCTCTCTCTCTTGGTTATATAGGTTTCTCTATACAACAGTCCTGGATGTCCTGGAACTCGCTGTGTAGACCAGGCTGGCCTTGAACTCACAGAGATCCGCATGCCTCTGCCTCCTGGCTCAATCCTCTTAAAATGCAATCCAATCCTAAATCTAGATTTTATGAATCTACACGGACACATGAAGACCTAAGAGTCAGGTGTTTGTGGTTTTTGTTGTTGTTGTTGATTTCTGAGACTGTAATTTAATTTGAAGGGAGCTTCTCTTTCCACCTTGTTTTTAAAGAATTAGAGAGCGCAGACTCGCCAGCCGACCGCGCATCTTCAGAACTGCACTCCTGGGGTATGAAACACATACCTGAAAGTTTCACATTCTGCTCATATCTTTTTAACGAGTCATCGGCGGGGCTCCTGTCACAGCCAGGCAGGGAAGAAAACGCCATGGGCTCCTCCATCTGAGCACCCTAGGAGGCTCCCACCACACGCAACCGGGGTGCAGAATGTCAGCTACGACACAGGCATGTCCACCGGGGGGTGCAGCCGCTGTGGAAATCAGAACACTGTGAGGAAGGCGAAGTCACTCGCTGAACCAGGCACGTAACAAAAACCAGCGGCCCTCCCGGGCACTAACATTAAAAACCCCACAGCGGTCCAAATCCCCAGCCTGGGAGGCGCCGCTGGCCCGGGGCTGGGCGGGAACTCCTGCGGGCCGGGGTGCGGCCGGCTCAGCCCGGCCCGGGGACCCCGCCCGCCGGCGGCTGCTGGCGAGGGACCGCGGCTTGACCGAGAAGACCCGGGAGGAGATTGCACGCCAGAGGGCTGGCCCAGGCCCCGCTCAAACCGGCCCAGGGCGGCCCGGTGCCAACCGCGAGCCGGACCGCCGGGGAAGGGATGGATGAATGGAGAAGACCCGCACGGCAACGGGAAGCGCAGTGCGCAGGCGCACCCCTCCCGCCGCGGGAGCCCGCGGAGAAGCTGCCAGGGTACTGGCGGGGCGACGGAACCTCGGTCCCGGTCGAGAGTTCGCTCCTGGCCCCGCACGGTCCAGAGACTCACGGTTCACGGAAGCTGGGACTCCCACGGTCGCGGCAGCCAGGAGCGCGCCCCGAGCCAGTCCCCCAGCGCGCCTGCGCGCGTCTTCCCGCGCTGCTTTGAATTGCTCATGCGCACTCGGGAGCCCTCCGCGCCCGGGCTCGGCGGCCGGGGGACGCTGGCGGAAGAGGTGTGGTCGGTCTGCAGGCCGGCGGGTCAGGAAGGGCGGTCCCACGAGTTAGAGCTCGGAGCCACGCTGGGGGCAACCTAAGGTTAGAGGGGGAGCACGCCCAGCCGGGTGTCCGGCCTCAGCCACACGAGCCTTGGCCGTGCAAGACACCGGACGCTTCCCGGGGCGAAGAAAAAGCACTTCGTGGAGTCCGTTTTTACTTTTCCCTAAAATCAAAGAGTAACTGCTGGTTGTGCGTGGCTTTTATAGCAGATGAGCAGTGTCGGTCAGTGTATGTTGATCATTTAGCTGTGATAGAAGCCAGCCTTCAGGGGCTGAGCCCTTAACAGTGGCGAACACGGCAGTCAAAAGCCATCCCAATTTCGCGCCTTTTAAAAAACAACCAACCGAGTCTACGTGTGCATGGGTGTGGAACGACCATGCACAGGACTCCCTCCTGCCACGGGTTACATCCTCAGCGGTTCTTCTTGCCCTGGCCACTTCCCACGGCCCAGAGCTCAGCAAGGGGTGGGGCCCGGAAGTTACCCGCCCAGTCCGTGCTGGCGCTTTGCCTGGTCTTGTGCAGGTCGCTGCAGCTGCTGAACGCCATGCCCTATCCCGAAGGGAAGGCAGCATTTCACAACACTCTGTACCACCCCCAGTTCTTCCCCAGCCGACTTCCACTAGGCCAGCCTAGCTCTTGCATTCTTACCGTTTCATCTTTCAGTAAATACCCTGAGCCTTGGAGGAGAAGGGTGTTCGTACAGATCTCCCCTTTAGGGCTGATCACTTGGTCTCTTATTCTCCGGACTTTGACCAGTTCTGTATCTCCGTAAGGACAGCTGTTGGGCCAGATGTTATCTAAGCATATATAGATAACTGAACTCTGAGAGCTTACAGCATTTTTTGGTTGAGCAGAGAGAGAGGGCTAACGAGCCTGAGAAACAGTGGGCCTGAGAGATTAAAATAATCATAGGAACCAAGGAAGGAAGTTTTACAGTTACAGAGGGGTGACCAACGGTAGCAATTGCTACATAAAAGTTCAGGACACAGATTTCGACCCTGTGGCACCTGGCAGTGGTGGCATACACTTTAATCCCAGCACTTGGTAAGGAGAGGCAGGCCAGCCTGGTTTACAAAGTGAGTTCCAGGACAGGTTCCAAAGCTACAAAGAGAAACCCTATCTCAAAACAAAACAAAAAGATAGACCCTGTGGCAGAAAGTTAGGCAGAAATATTTTATATTAAAGCGTGGTTTAAGAAGAAAAGACACTCGCTCAACCTTTCTGTGATCCTAGGAAAGGTCAGGGGGGCTACAGGAAATGAGTTTTCAATATAGTCGCAGAATGGTGGCTCAGAGGTAAGTTGTATTTGATTCAAATGAATAAAGAAATGTGTCCTCTCGGAAGAAACTAAAACTGCCTGACAAGTTCCTATGACTGAATAGGCATGGATGTGATTCCCGTGGGGCTTCTTGTTGATGTGTTCATCTTCAGCGTTTCTGCAGTGTGTAGACTTAACCAGGGCTCCATGCATTCCAGGCAAGTTCTCTATCACAGTGCTACATTAACTGAGCTGGAGGGAGAACTAGCTACCGTCCACTCTGAGCTGTGCCATACAGTACCAAGCTCTACTGTGTTTATCCACTTGTTAAACGTCTGTACTTAGTCAAAATAGTTGTGGGTTCGCTCTGCTAGGGTGAGGACAAAATCCACTATATGTGCATTCTGAACCCTAACTGCCTGGGACTCTGCAAAGGGAAGTTTCTGTCCCGCCAGCAACTCCCAAATACCCAGCACCACTTCCCAAATAATTGACTCGGGGGCTTAATATGAATTATAAATGCTTGGCCAGTAGCTCAGACTTATTACTAACTAGCTCTTACACTTAAATTAACCCATAATTCTTATCTATGTTTAGCCACGTGGCTTGGTACCTTTTTTCAGTACGACATTCTCATCTTGCTTCCTCTGCATCTGGCTGGTGACTCCTGACTCTGCCCTTCCTCTTCCCAGCATTCTGAGTTTGGCTTTCCTGCCTAATTTCCTGCCCAGCTACTGGCCAATCAGTGTTTTATTAAACCAGTTTGAGTGACAAATCTTGACAGTGTACAAGAGGGTTATTCCACTGTAGGATGCTGTTTCCTCCTTTATACAGTGATGATGACAAGAGTGTCTGCAGTTATCTCACAGATCGGTGAATTGGTAAGTGTGCATTGAAAGCCTGGCTTGTGTCACATCTGTTCACCAAGAGGACCATGATGGTAAGATTCCTTAGCAGTCACTGACATGTTAGGAAATGGTCAGGACGTACTTCTCAAGTGTTGAGTAAATGAGTGTGTATAACAAAATATGTGCTGGGGAGAGGGAGTGACTAACTTTTTCTGAATTGAAGTCCAAACTGGGTTTTTGAGAAATTAACAGGCGCTCATGATGCAAATAGGAGAAAGGAGTATGTCTGTAACAGACATCTCACTGTCTTAAAAGGCCTAAGTTATCAAACATTTAAATGCCATATGCTGTTGGTCTTTGAAGTGTTTGAAGATTACTTATCTATTTGAAATATATCTCTGTGTACCTAGAAAACCTAACTAACATGACCATAAGTTTGCTAGATATGGGTGACTATTATAGATGACTAATTATTAATCTGTATTTCTTAATTATACATTCTATTTTTTATTGGGCTGCATAAACATAATACTTTAAACAAGAGTAGAAATACACATACTGTATAACAAAAGTAACTTTAAATTTGTATCAATAAACCAAAATCCATACTAATGTAAAATATGTAAGATTAATAGTTGGTTTTTTTTGTTTTTTTTTTTTTTTTTTTTTTGGTTTTTCAAGACAGGGTTTCTCTGTGTAGCTTTGCGCCTTTCCTGGAACTCACTTGGTAGTCCAGGCTGGCCTCGAACTCACAGAGATCCGCCTGGCTCTGCCTCCCGAGTGCTGGGATTAAAGGCGTGCGCCACCACCGCCCGGCCTAATAGTTGTCTTTTGGATTAAAGTAGATTCAATAATCTACTCCTTTATCCTATTATTTCTATATCCCCCTTTTCTTTTTAGAATGAGATCCCTAAATCTAATCTGCTTTGTTCAGCTTTTTTCATGACCATTATCAGTAACAACTTGTAACCAGCCCCTCTTAAATGATAATAAATGTCCATAATACATTTTTTGGGAATGTGGGCATAGTTTTCTAGACTACTTCCTGTTGATTAGGGTTCTGGTAATCTTTGGGGGACCTTGAGAAAATTTAGGGTTATGGTCAAGTCCTGACTGGAGTATTCTGTGGGGCTGGATCATCTCAGCCAGCAGCCTTGAAACTGTTCAGGATGAAGAACTCAGAAGAAACTGCAACAGAGGCGCTCTGAAGCATTGGGTCATCTGGGCCATCTGTTCCCATTGGAGATTTTTCAGGGAGTCTTCCTCTATCAAACATGATTTTTCTTAACCCAGAATGAATCCACAGTCCCTCATTTCCTGTGGAAACAAAAGCATAACCTCTCCCCAAAAGTAACATATCTTTTGACTTAAAATTTGAAGTCAATATAATTTTAAAATATATAGGTTGGTTTACTATAGCAGTTTTCGTAATTCAAGGTCTCTTAGCAGCCAAAAAATTTAAAGACAACACAATAATATACACAATCTAGACTCTCTGTGTATTTTCCATCTTTAAGTAGCTTATTATATTTTTTATTACCCTGTTTCTTTTTTAATGACTTTCTTTATCCTTTTCCCTCCCAAGCCTACATATATATTTTTAAACACTCTGTGACCTGACCCGTGTAGAGGCTCTTTTTGTCTGGATCTGTCCTTATTGTACACCTGTAACCTTTTCCATCTTCATGAGCAAAAAACTGCTCTGTAACTTAGATCATGGCATCTGGTGCTGACTCCTCCCCCTCAGTTCCCCGAGAATCTGTTCTCATGGCAGAGGTACGTTTATTGCCAGCTCTGGGAGCCATGTTTACCACCCCATCCTGAAGTTTCTGGGTCCACACTGCCACTGAGTAGCGTGCTGCAGACTCTTCATAAACATCATGTAAGTGTTTGGTAGTAGGACTTCTTAAAAGAACCACCTGTTTTTGCCACTAGCACTGAGCCAAGAAGCTGTCTCTTAAAGGAGCTGTGCCTCACCACCAGCAGACAGAGCCCACTGGAGAAAAGGCAGCTACCAAGAAGCCGTGCTTGACTCTGTTCTTGTATGTCTAGACTCCTTTTTTAATCTTTGTCAGGTTTTATTTGGAAATTTTGGCCCCACATTGGGCACCATATGTAAACAGACATTTCCTGTCCCTACCGCCCAGTCCTGAATAACTGGCTCAGAGGCTTAATATGAGTTATAAATACTCGGCTGATAGCTCAGGCTTGTTACTAGATAACTCTTACACTTAAATTAACCCATATTTCTATCTATG